CAACACAAATGGGCCTCTTAAGGTTCATAATTTCATTGCTGATAAGGATGATGGAGATCTAAAGCATTCGATTCCAGAAGATGAAAGATGGCAAATCATAGGCATCTGCTTGTGGCAGCATATAACTAAATTTGTGAAACATAAGCTTGCTTGCATGTCAATTGAACTTGATGATCGTCATCTTTCTGATATTTTCCATGAAAAACTTCATTCTTCAGTAATCAATTGTCAAAATTTTGAAGCTAACGATGAGAGCATAACAGAGCTGTCCAGGCTGTTGTCATTGATGTTGGCAAAGTTACTGAAAAGCACACTTGAACATATTTCCTTTCACCATGTAAAACAGCTGGCATTGCTCATGGAGCAGAAAGTTGTTTGTGGGTTTCACGTTCCAACTCTTCCATGGTTAGAAGAATCTAGGCAGTCCCGGACCAGAGATCTCAGTCAGCATCTCAATCAAGATGTTGTCAGTGGTGATGTAATGAATACAAAAGATGAATACTCAGTTTATGAAGTATTTGGGGATATATTTGTTGATCCTGGCTTAGTAACTGAAAGTTTCACACAAGAAAATATTAATTGGTCAGATTGTTTAAATCATATACCCTCAAGAGGATGGCAAGACATGCACAAAGTCATCATAAGAGAGCATGATACGGACAAGCAATACAATCATGAAGGTAAGCTTTCTAATGGTTTGGGTGGTGCTGAGGTTGGATCTCCTGCTAGGGATTTACTTCGAAATGGTCATGCTTTTGTAACTTCTTGGCGGAAAGATAAGAACATTACAGCGGAGGTCACAACTTTTCAAAGCCCTAAAGAAATACATAAGAGAAACGGGGAGCTTTTGGAGGTAATTGTTTTTCCTTTTCTCCCTTTATTACAACTTGTTATATTATCATGACTGCAATGCAACAAATCAGTATCAAAATGGCATGGGAGGTGTCTAAGTTATGGAAACCAACACCTCCCGTTTTTCTAATGTACTTAATGGTTCAATCACCCACTGTGAGCAGGCTTTGTGTATAAACTCTGTTCATCAATGGCAAGCTGCAATTTCTAGCAATAGAAAGGTTAGTGATTACACACAAATTCTTTTTCTATTTTGAAAATTGAAGTTCTCCCTTTCTTGAGAACTGCTTGTGCTAATCGATTTTTTACTGTCTGCCATTATACAGTTCTTCATAAATGCTATTCGCATTCTTGTCAAATAAATTATGTCTATGAAGTGATTACTGAGGTTTTAGTTACATGTTAATGTTGTTAGCCATTTTGCATTGTGCAACTGTACGTTTTGGAATGGTGCTATACTTTTTTACTTACATGGACAAGTGTAAGATGGTCTAGGAAATAAATAACTTCAAATTTAGCCATCCTTGTTCAGTGAAGATTGCAGCTTCTTTTGGATCTGCATTGGATCTCATTTGGCCTTAAGTTGAATGGGTTTTTGCAGTAAAAAGAATAGAAGGAAAGACAATGGTGAGCTTCAACTTGGAGTAGATGATCATGGAACTTTTTGCAGATTTTATTTGGACTTACTGGATGTAGAAATGACTATTTGTGTACCATCAATTAGCTGTTTACTTGTGCAAAAGTTAATGCTTGAAGAACTTTGCCTGTTTCTGTTCTTGTTCCCATGGAAGTGTATTCCTTGAGTCCCATATCGCCCGAATGTTTATTGTTAATTCATCCCATTCATTCCTGAGCCACTCTTCTTTTACTTGAAGGAAAGAACTATGTAAAAACCTTTTCTTAATTTCATTTTTTAATCTTGATCCATCTGTGAGCCTGGTATTTTGTTGCTGCACACGCAACCTAGTAGTTGACGTGCATGTCTTCATCAGTGTTGATGTTTCCAAAGGTATTGAAAGATTTTCAGGGGAAAGAACTTGCATTCCATCCCAAGTTGAGAGCTTTTTGGTTTATTTGTATGTTGGGAGCTAGGACTGCACATGCTCCAATGAATAAAGGAGTCATTAAAAAAATCGAGGATGCGAGTGTAATTGTCTCCTGTTTTTATCCCACATGTAGTCTTCCTAGGTTTTGAAGCGTTCATAAAGGACCATACAGAACTGCTACTGACGCCAGCCTTTGAGTTCTAAATTGTACATGCCTATTTTTATTCCATTGCCTGAGGATTCTTTTGTGAAGTTTGCTTTAAGCTGCAATATAGCCTTTGAGGCAAATGTTTTACAGCATGTGATTCGATATCTTATTTTTTCAACTTAAATTGCTTTCTATTTTCCTTAAAATTAGAACTAATTATGTTCATTGGTTACACAAGTAAATATTGGCTTCTGATTAATGCAGGGCATAATTTTCTTTAATTGGGAAAATGATATTCCTTTCAGTGATCAATCAGATTATATCTGGTCCAATGCTGATTGGCCACAGAATGGGTGGGCTGGTTCTGAATCCACACCACTTCCAACATGTGTTTCACCTGGTGTTGGTCTTGGAAGTAGGAAAGGAGCACATCTTGGGTTGGGTGGTGCAACAGTTGGTGTGGGTTCTCTTGCAAGACAAGAGAGAGACTCGGACATTGGAGCTCTCAGGCTTCCAGGCTATGCTGGTATAGGTGCTTCTGGCTTGGGTTGGGGAATCCAAGAGGATACTGAGGAGTTTGTTGATCCTCCTGCAACAGTAGAAACCATAAGTACCAGAGCATTCTCAAGTCATCCCTCAAGGGCGTTCTTCTTGGTTGGTTCTAGCAATACACACATTTACTTATGGGAGGTACAAAACCTGGATCCCTCAAATAATTTTTATGCTGGGATTTTTTTAAGTAAATCTATAAAAAATTTGGTTTCACGTGTATAGGATAATTGCCTACTCTTATCAGTTTGCCTAGGAGAGTTATTCCCACTGTATAATTATATCATACTCATAAATGTAGTATGTCTTTATCAGAAGCTGATTCATCAGATTTTCCCTCTTTGATTATAATATCCTGTATATTTATTTATTTATTTGTCTTGCTTGGTTGAGCTTATGTCTTAACCAAGTGATGCATCTTTACTAGAATGAGATTATTCTAGTTCTGATTGTAGGTGATACCAACATTCTCTAAATAGGAAAAATAAAAGCATCAATGTTCTCAATCATATCACAAATTTTATTTGAAAGTAAATAGTCACATCATATATGTTATCTTTTGGCAAGGAATTAGGAGGGTAAAAAGGGAAAATTATGATTTATTGCTTTTTTGCTTGTTGGTACATATTCTAATTACTTTCAAACAAGGAATTAATGTCTGCATATGGAACCCAAGTGATGCAGAACCCGAGGATCAAATATTACATTCAGAACCCCGCATATATATTTAGTATAGATAACTTAGAATTCTAAACAAATCTTCCCTATCAAACTCACAACTAACCTGTAATTGAGAACTTGAGTGATTGGGATAAAAGAAGTAAGAAATAATAAATACCACAAGTTAACTTGATACGTTAATTCAATTCTTGATGCAACAAAAAAAATAAAAATTCTCACTTTTCAAAGTTCTACCAAAGGTAATGAAATTCATTCAATGATCGAAGTGTGTCATATTACATTATAAAGGAGATATTTATAGGTTAAAACATATAGATTCTACTAAAAGATCATAATTAGATAATTTAGACAAATATGAAGATAATTTAAATGATTTAGGAAAACATGATATTAAATGATTTAGGAGAATGACATAGGAGAATATGGTATTAAATGACTTAGGGGAACATAATATTAAATGATTTAGGGGAATATAATAGAAGAACATAGTATTAAATGATCTGAGAGAACATGAATATAATTTAATTATATTCATCTAGAAAATGATCAAAATGATCTTAAACATTCATTCTAAATTCTGCCCACACTTGGACAAAATTGATCTTTTTTAACTTCTTTGATTTTTCAAATAGTTCACATGTGTTAAGTTCTTATTGTATTCATTTTTGTACAAAGTCTTTAAATATATGTTTTCGATTTTTTTCTTGAAATCTTGTGATTGGACCAGCTGGCATTGTAATATCTTCTTCATGCTTCTCTTTAATGTTTTTTGAACTCATATCCGCATCATTTTCTCCTTCAAAAGGTTTTATCCTCGAATCTGCATTCATATCAAACGGAGAAAGATCATAAACGTTAAAAATAGTGGACTCAGAATACTCATCATGGAATCAATCCGATAAGTTTTATCATTGATTTTCTCCAATACTTGAAATAGTCCATCGCCTCTCGGATCCAACTTTGACTTCCTTTATTTTGGAAACTTTTCCTTGCGCATATGTACCTAAACCCAATCGGCAGGTTCAAGTACAACTTGTTTTCGCCCTTTATTACTTTGAGGATAAACTTGGTTCTTCTTTTTAATCTGCTCATGTGCTTTCTCATTAATAACTTTAACCATTTCAGCCTTTTTCTTATCATATAAACTAGAAATTTCACTTAAAGGTAATGGCATTAAATTCAAAACAGTTAATGAATTAAAACTATACACAATTTCAAAAGGTAAAAACTTGTAGAAAAATGAATAGTATGATCATATGCAAACTCAATGAATGACAAACAATCTTTTCAAGTTTTCAAATTCTTACCAATAACAGCACGCAACAAAGTTCCCAAAGTTCTATTGACAACTTCAGTTTGACCATCAGTTTGTGGATGACAAGTAGTAGACTACAAAAATTTAGTTCCAAAAATGACTCAAGAATTTAACATCACGATAAGAAACAATAGTCTTAGATACACCATGTCTCTTTACTACTTCTCAAAAGAACATATCAGCAATGTTTGTTGCGTCATCAACTTTGTGATATGCAATGAAATGTGTCATTTTACTAAACCTGTCAACTACAATAAATATGCTATTTTTACCTCTTCTAGTTTTAGTCAAAGCTAACACAAAATCTATAGAAATGTCAGTTTAAGGTTGAGTAGGAACTGGTAATGGAGTGTATAAACCATGCGGTTTGGACTTAGATTTAGGCTGTTTATTTGCAATACAAGATGAACAAAATTTCTCAACATCTTTATGCATGTTTGGCCAATAAAAATGCTCAGTTAGAATGTCCAAAGTTTTATGCACACCAAAATGACCCATTAATCTCCCACTATGAGACTCACGAACAAACAATTCACGCAATGAATATGTAGGCACACATAATTGTTTTCCACAAAATAAAAATCTCTCATGTCTATAAAACTTATCAAATGCAGCATGTTCACAAGCAATATAAATATTGCAAAAATCATAATCAGTAGCATACATATTTTTGAGTTACTCAAATCCTAATAATTTAGAATTAAGTGTAGAAATTAAAACGTATTTTCTAGATAATGCATCTGTTACCACATTGTCTTTACCTTGCTTATAATGAATCACATAGGAAAAAGCCTCAATGAACTCTATCCACTTTGCATGCCTTTTATTCAGCTTCCTTTATCCTTTTAAATGCTTGAGAGACTCATGATCACTATGAATCACAAATTTTTTTGGAAGTAGGTAATGCTATCATATTTGCAGTACATAAACTAAAACATATAACTCCTTGTCATAAGTAGAATAGTTCAATAGTGCGCTATTTAACTTTTCGCTGAAGTATGCAATTAGAAGTTTATCATGCATCAAAGCTACAATACTTATTTCAGAAGCATCACATTCAATTTAAAAAAATAAGTTAAATAAAAAATAAATGTAGAACACAATTTATCTTTCAAAGTTTTGAATGCATGGTCTTGTTCCTCTCCCCATTTGAATCCAACCTCTTTTTTAACTACTGTAATTAAAGGAGCAACAATAGTTGAGAAATCTTTCACAAATCTTCTGTAAAAACTAGCAGTTAGTGAAAACTCCTCACATCAAACACACTTCTAGGTGTTGGCCATTCTTATATAGTTTTTACTTTGTCACTATTAACCTCAACTCCCTTTGCACTAACAACAAATCCTAAAAAAATAACTTGATCAAGGAAAAAAGTGTATTTCTATAAGTTAGCAAACAATTGTTTCTTTCTCAAAACTTATAGGACAGTTCTAACATGCACAGGATGATCGTCCAAAGACTTGCTATAAATCAGAATATCATCAAAATAAACCACAAGAAATTTTTCAAGAAATTCACGCAAGACATGATTCATTAATTTCATGAATGTACTAGGTGCATTAGTTAAACCAAATGGTATAATCATCTACTCATACAAACCATATTTATTTTTGAACGCAGTCTTCCATTCATTATCTGGTTTCATGCGAATTTGGTGATATCCACTTTTCAGATCAATTTTTGTAAAAATACATGCACCATACAATTCATATAACATGTCATCTAATCTTGGAATAGGATGACAATACTTTACGGTGATTTTATTGATTGCACGACAGTCAACACACATCCTCCATGATCCATCTTTCTTAGGAACTAGTAACATAGGAACTGTACATGGGCTCATGCTCTCCCTTACATAACCTTTTGCCAAGAGTTCATCTACTTGCTTTTGGAGTTCTTTTGTTTCATCTAGATTACTCATATATGTTGGTCTATTAGAAATTGTAGAACCAGCGATGAAATCAATTTAATGCTCAATGTCCCTCAGAGGTGGTAATCTATTTGGCATATCATCAGGAAACACATCTTCAAACTCCTACAACAAAGAAACAAACATACTAGGCAGATTTGGATTAAGGTTAGTTTTAGAGAAATAAACTTATCTAAACCTAAGCACTATTAAAGCTCTCTTACTTGCATAAGTAATCCTTAATTTCCTTTCCTTTGAATACAAACCTAGTTTTTTTTCACTTTTTTCTTCTCTTATTATATTTTTCTCTCGTGTTTCCCTCTTTCTTTTTTTCACTAGTGCAATCACTCATGGGCTGTTATTTTTTTTCCTTTTTTTCCATCCTTTTTTCCCTCATTTCTTTTACTTCTCTCACTCCCCAAATTCCCATTAGAAGCTTGTATCATTTTCATTTGATCCTTATACACTTCTAAAGGAGGTAATAGTGCAAATGTGAAATCTCTGTCATTCAAAGTAAATGAATACCTATTTGTGTACTCATCATGTATGGCTCTTCCATCAAATTGTCAAGGTCGCCCTAACAACAAATGACCAGCTTGCATGGGTACTACATCACATAATACTTCATCAACATATCTCCCAATGGAGAATAAAATTGTAACCTGTTTAATTACCTTCACTTCTCCACAATCATTCAACCATTGTAACTTGTAAGGTTTTGGGTGTTTTTCACATTTTAAACCTAATTTCTCCACCAAAGTAGTAATAGCCACATTTGCACAACTCCCTCCATCAATAATCATAACACAAACGTTTTCACTTATAAGGCATCTTGTATAGAACAAATTTTCCCTTGGTTTTAAACTTTTCTCTTTAACTTGCATATTAAGAGATCGTCTAATAACCAATGATTCTCCACAGGCAGCATACTCAACATCATCATTACAATCTTTTAAAGGTGGCATATTATCACAATTTTCTAAAGGTGACATATTATCACAATCAGAATCAGATTCAAACTCAACATCCCTATTATCCCTAATAATCATGACCTTATTTGGAGATTGTGAAGCAATATGTTTCACTCCCAAACATCTGAAACATTTAATATTTCTATGTTTATTAGTAGATGTGAGATTAGAAGTAC